ATATTTTGGTTTTTTTTTTTTTTGGGGGGGGGGGTGAAAGTCTTTTGTAGCCTAGGCTGGCCTGAAGCTCACTAGGCTAGCCTTGAACTCATCCTTGTTTGTCCACCTCCAGAGTGTTGGGATTCCTAGTATGTGACATCATGCCTGGTCCATCATGATATTTTGAAATCTATTTCATTCTTTTAACTTCCACAAAAAGTATCTGAAGAGGCTTTGCTGGCCTACCCTGGGGCCGGACAGTGTTCCCAAATCCTTCCCAGGGCAAATCTGACTGGCCTCTGGACACAAAGGACTGTCCCTGAACTTCAGAGGAGACTCCCAGTGGCTTCTCTGCCTTCTAAGGATTTGAAAGAGCTTGTCTGCAGGCTCTGGTTGGCTTTTGTCTTTTTTTCACTATTCCAGGAGCTAAAACCTTGAGGTCATTAATGAAAAAGGATCCCCTGGTGCTCTCCTGGAGTGGGAGGTCAGCTAGCTTCTGGGCCAGAGTTCTGGCTGCAGCCCTGCCTTTGTCATGGAAAGCTGTCCACTGGGGCATGCGGCTGGGTGGCTGGCACTGCTGAGGAAAGGAATTTCCTGCCAGATTTGAGAACAAAACAAAAAAAGGCAGAAAGACTAGTGCCCTGCTGAATTCCTCCCCAGGGGCCTGGAGAACAGTCCTTTATCATTTTAAAAAAGATAAGTATCATTCTTGGTAGGCACTGCCCTAAAGCAACTAGATGACTTGCAGCCCCATAACCCTCCTAAGAACAATGAATTACAGTTATTGCCTATCTTACTAATGAAAGCACGGACCTGGGAGCTTGTATAACTGGGCCTCATCATTGATCTAAGTGATTGCTTCAGGCAAGTGATCAAACTAGGATTCAAAATGAGGTTATTTGATGTCATTGCCTATCTGTCCTTAACACATTTTCCTGTGTCCTCATTTCAAAAAGAAGAGGCAAAGAGGAGTTAAGTAATTTTGCCAAGACTGCACAGCTTGTCTATGGCAGCTAACTTTAGCCTAGACCGTGGCCTTCATCTTCCAGTTAGAGATGTTTCACTCCAGACAGTTCCTTTGTGTAGACCTTGAGGTTGAATGTTGTGTCAGTGACGTCTTTTCAGGAATGCAGGAGGTTAAGCCCCCGAAGGAAAAAAGCTTTTCCTTTGAGCATCTTCTGCCTTAGACTCAACCCAGAGGTTGATCAGAGGCCCAGGACTTGGTCTTTAAGGCTTTTTAGAGAAATCAGGCATTGCTGACAATGGTTAGGAACCCTGGTTTCACCCCCTTTGGGCACCACATCCTATGCTGCCGTTTTGAGGTACTGAAATGACTATAGCCCATGGCCTGCCCTTAAGTCACTCACTACTTGAAAAGACTCCTTGGGAAATGTGGTAGAGGCTAAAAGGTTGGGGGTATAGGCTATTGGTAAAATGCTAGCCTAGCATGCATGAAGCCCTGGATTTGATTGCCAGCACTGCACAAATTGGATGTGGTGGCACATGCCTGTAATCCCAGTACTCTGAAGGTCGAAGCAAGAGGATCAGAAGTTCAAGATCACCCTTGAGTTTATAGCACATTTGAGGCTAGCCTAGGCTACATGAGACTGGTCTCAAAGAAGAAAGCTTTTCACATGTCCAAGGCTAGAGTGCAGGTCTTTCCTTGCAGTGGAGGCAAGAGTCATGGCAGGACAAAAGTTTCTT